TGTGACGCCAGATTTTAAGGATTTGTAACACTTATGTACTGTTGTACTTGTCATTTCCATCACCGCATAGTATGCACTTATTATGTTAATATTTTATTTAAAAAGACTTATCATAGTTGCATGAAATTTAATGTAACTAAAAATATGTTTAAAAGGAATAAATAAATAGTAGTTTCACTTGTGGGCTTGCCTAACGGCGACGTTAGGTGCAATCTCGACCTAGTACGGAATGAGTCGTGACACTTATACAAAAATATATAGGCTATTTTGGTAAGAATATGCTAAAAATAGAAGTCTAAATAAATATGTCATTTACAACTTGTTTTGGATGGTTGTTACCTATTGTATTGTATTGTATTGTTACTCAAAATTTTATTGAATCGTATCATCAAAGCGACTTATATAACGACGAAAAATGTCACTTTATGGAATGACCGATATGGCATGGTCACGTCGTTACCTTATTTTTTTTTCTCATCTTTCCCTTTCTTATTATTAAATAATTCTATTTTATCCTTTACCCAACCTTTTTATATTATAATTCTACCTCAAACCTTACTTTTTCTTTATAATATTATAAATATATTCTTTATATTGTTGGTGCATGACATCATAAAATGACGATAAATAATACAATCTATCCAAATATTATATACATCAAAACGATACAGTACAATGCAATACAATACTATATATACATTATGAAACGATACATAATGACCATCCAAACAAGTTGTTAGTGTCACGATTCAAAAATATCTTTAATTAAGAAGATACGAAACAATATCACACAAATAATTAATAATAGGAGTTTTTACTATAAAGTCGCCAGTGATAAAGTTTAATGCAATTCGTTTACAAAAGTTTTAGAAATAAAACCAATCCAATAATTTTTTTTATATTTTTTTTTTGTAGAATGCATATTATAGATTCAATGCACAAAAAAATAATATAAAAAGTAAAAATGATAAGGTCCTAGAAATGTTGATTGAACTTTTTCGATTCATTAAAAGATTCCATAATCGACAAAAAAGTCATATGTTATTTTCTTAGATATTAAATTAATGACGAAGTTCGTAACTAAGTCCATATCTTTTTTGTAATGTTTGTTGTCAAATGAGGTACGTGTTTTAATCACGCGCAAAGCGCATAGACTTAAACTAGTATTATATTAAACGAATGAAGGCCCTTATCGAAATGTCGTTCGACTTTTTTACCCCTTAAAAATAAATTTTATATTAGACAAAATCGTAATTTTATGCCTTGTTCCTAACATTTAGGAGCTTTAAATAAAATATTTCACATTAGACAAAATTATCATTTAATTTTTTTTCTAATATTTAGGAATTTGAAATCAACTAAAACTTATTTATTAAAACATTCATATTGAAATATTATGTAAGAAGTCCTAAACTTTTGGCCATTAAAATTATCCAGAAAAAATTCCTTGTATAAATTAAAGTCCTAATATTTAGGACCAAAAATAAAAAAAAAATAAGAACTAAATTTGACGTTGAAATACTTTCATATCTCGCCACTAACCATTAAATTTGGATTCAAAGCTATTAAAGGAAAAAATTGAAGAACTACTATACTATTGTTCTTTATTTGACGAAAAGAACTACTACTATTATTGATTTTCTAAGTGAAGCTAGATGAAGAATTGAGGTTAAAAAAAGGCCAATATACGACAAATACGAGGAATTTAATTTCTACCTATTAATTAAGAGCCTTTTGATAGGTACAAAGATGGTAAATTTATTAGTGATGTATATTATTAATTATTTTAATAAAATGAACTCCAACCAAATAAATATTTGGTTAATCATAAATGATGATGGACGACTCAATTATGAATGTACTACTACTGAATTTTCCTAATTAATAAACTCACAAAGTTTACAAACAAATTAATTAGAGTTGTTTGGATAATTATGTCGCCAAAAAATCAACAGCTGCCCCTCTTTACCCGGGAATGATGAAAGAGTTGTCGGGTAAAGAAAATGATGACCAATTTTGTCCGAATTGAGTGAGGAATGATGTATTTTGAAAAAATGGGGGTCGAACCCTGGTTCTTGAGTTGCCTACATATCCCTACTATTACGAAAATCAGGTCGTGTGTAGTTCTGGATCCAACGACTAATGAAACCGACAGAGTTGTTATAAGGGCAGTTGTATGTTTCAAAAAGGTTCTTTTGGATAGGATGGTGTTGCAAGTAACGGATAATTTTAGATGGAGTCATGAATGTGAATGAACGTTATCGATGTACGAGGTAGATATTTGAATGGTTATAGAAAAAAGGTAATCAATTGCTGATCATTGGTTACTTTTGAGGTGATTGAGAGATGTGAACATTGTGAACAGAAACCGGAGCGAGAATTGCTCCTGTTTGTAGGACAGCTTCCTCCCGAGTTACCTGCAAAACTTAAAATGCGGTGCATGCGAATATATATGGGTTATTGTAAAAATTTTAACATGATACAGATTCCCTTTGGACCATGAAGGTTGCCTTCGGACGATGAGGATGATGTCCTGGGCCATGAAGAGTATGGTAAAGGATTCATAGGCCATGGAATGGTATCTTTGGTCTATAAGGATGATGCCTTTGGATTATGATGCCTTCGAATAATGATATGTAATTTCGAGAGATCCCCAGGCCATGACATGGTGTCTACATGCTATGAGGATGGTGCCGTTGGACTATGACGCCTTCAGATAGTGTGGCGATATTTCAGCCCATGAAATGCAAGTATGTGGTAATATCGATCGCTTGATAAATGAAACAAATGATGCTTAGTTATTTGCGAGGACAAGACAAGACAAGGCTTAGTCTTGCATGAGATGAGGGCAGTGTTTAACCCTATGCAAAGAAAGGGGAGAGTGCTTAGTCTAATGCAAGGAGAGGCAATGTTTGGCCCTATGCAATGGTGGGGGCAGTGTTTAGCCCTATGCAAGGAGTAGAGGCAATGCTTAGTCTTATGCAAGGAGTAGAGACAATGTTTAGTCTTATGTAAAGGAAGGCAGTGCTTAACCTTATGCAAGGAAAGACAATGCTTAGCCTTATGCAATGATGGAGGTAGTACTTAGCCCCATTCCAGGTGAGGGCAGTGTCTAGCCCTATGCAAGGAGTAAAGACAATATTTAGTCTCATACAAAGGAAGGCAGTGCTTAGCCTTATACAATAATGAGGGCAGTGTTTATCCCTATGCAAGGAGTAGAGACAATGTTTAGTCTCATGTAATGGAAGGCAGTGCTTAACCTTATGCAAGGAAAGGCAATGCTTAGCCTTATGCAATAATGGAGGCAATGCTTAGCCTCATGCTAGGTGAGGGCAGTGTCTAGCCCTATTGATGAGTGGTGATTTTACCATTTATTTTAGTCTCTTTTCTTTAGATTTTGCATCCGTTAATTATAATATGAGGTTGTTTATGGTGTGTATTACTAGATTTTCAGGAAAATGAAGTCTTGAAGAGAATTAAAATCAAATGAAGTGAAATTAAGTAAAAGAGAGTTGAAACAATGCAAAATGCTTCAGTTATTTCGCCTCTGTAGAAGACAAGTCGTTTATGCGATCTCGCATCTGCGAGACAAGACCCGCCTCTGCGGAAGAAGACATGGATGGAAGAAATGGCATCTGTGATTGGTATACCGCATCACCGGTCGCGCTTCTGCGCTTTATGTCTACACTTTCGGACGCGCTTCTACGCATGGAGGTTCACTTCTGCGAAAGTAAATATTATTCAAAAAAGCCACTTCTGCGAGAGTGTATCCACATCTGCGGAGCCGCACCTGTGTTGATGCTTCCGCGGATGCGGTCAACGGGCATCAGCTATGGACAGGCTTGGCATTTCACACTTTCTCAAATTCCAAACCCACAAATACACGACCTAGATTTGAACATATCTTGAGAGAGAATACAAGTTTTGGAAGCTAGAGTTATTACACACATATTTTGGTATTGAAGATTTGAAGCTTTTGGTTGATAATGTCTTACTCATTTATGCTCATTTATTCGCCGTTGTCGGGGAATACGGTTTAAAAATTTCTATTTAGTGTGTGCTTTACTTTACGTCTTCTTCTATTCCATCACACTTTGCTTGCTTTGCTTGGTGTCACTAGGAAAACATGGGTGAGCCAGAAAAAGAAAATATTTTTGCGGATATAGATGAGTATATTGAGGATACAAATGCCATTGTCCCTCCAAGAGTTGATGCTGCCACCTTCAAGGTGGAATACAATCTAATCCTAATGATCAAGGAAGAGGGGTTTGTTAGAAATTCCATAGATGATGATCCTACACAACATCTCAGAAACTTCTTGGGTGTGTGTGCGATGCACTCAGAAGTTTTATATGGGCTTGGGTCCTATGAATTAATCCATAGCCAAAAATGCATCTTATGGATCCTTTATGGATAAAACATTTGCAAGGGTCACACAAATCCTTGACAAGATGGAAGAACATAACCAAGCTTGGCACTCGGAAGACACCACGAGTGGAATTGCATATGGTACTCCATCCTTGACTAACATGATTAACGAGAACCAAGAAAGGGATCAAGTAATTATCGGGCTTGCAACCAACATTAATGCGTTGACTAAGATGTTCACTGAAAGCCAAACAAAAAGGGTAAATGTTGTGGAAGATGTGCAACCCTTGCCAAATGAGGTTTACGAAGAAGCAAATTATGTCAACAACTCCCAAGGTGGTTACCAAAGACAACCCTACCAAGGTTCAGGACAACAAAACCAATGGAGGTCTAACCCGTAAGGGCAAGGCCATCAACAGTGGCGAAATGATAAAGGTAGTTCAAATAAAGGTAATTGGAGTAACAACAACAACAACTATTCAAATCGGAGTTCAAACCCCTATGTTCCACCAAAGGGGAAATATTCTAACTCTCCGCATTGGAAGGAAAGTTCTTCAAGTGAGTACAACTTGGAAAACATGCTTGAAAGAATATTACAAAATCAAGAAAGATCTGACACTTCAATAAAGAACATGACCGAGCTTGTGAGTTCTCACACCGCATCCATACAAAAGTTAGAAATGCAAATGAGAGATCTATCAAGAGAGCAAAATCCGAAGCAGAAGGGCACACTCCCGAGTGACACAATAGCAAACCCAAAAGGTAATGGGAGTGGTACCGCTTCTCATTGTATATCAATCACAACTCGAAGTGGGAAAATACTTCAAGGAGAGAATGAACAAATAGTCGAAGTGGAAGATCCTGAACAAGAGGTTGAGACACAAGTTGAGGTGCCAATTGTTGTTTAAGCTGAAAGACTCCCAAAGGAGGTGAAAATTCAAGAAGTGAACCGTGAAGAGGTTAAGGAAAAGGTAAAAGAGACACCAAAAGTTCTAGAACCAGTTCATATACCTCCTCCTCCTTTCCCTCAAAGACTTGCTAGGAGGGTTGATGATAGCAAACTTGAGAAGTTCTATGATATTCTCAAGCAATTATCGGTGAACATTCCATTTGTGGAAGCATTTCAAGAGATGTCGGTTTTTGCTAAGTACTTGAAGGACTTGATCACCAAGAAGAAAACCACCAAGAATGAAGTTGTGAATGTGCCTCATCGAGTTAGTTCTATCATTGTAATAACCATCGTTCAAAAGAAAGAGGACCCGTGAACTTTTACCATTCCATGCACTATCGGGTTGCGCAATTTTGCACGAGCTCTTTGTGATAATGGGGATAGCATCATCTTAATGCCTCTTTATATTTACAAGAAAAAGGGCTTAGGTATTCCTAGGCCTACAAGTATGAGGTTGCAAATGGACGACCGTTCAATAAAGAGACCGGTGGGAATTGTTGATGATGTTCTTATGAAAGTGGGGAAGTTCCTCCTGCCGACTTTGTTATCCTTGACTGTGTTGTTGATAAAGAAATCCCTATCATCTTGTGGATATTGTTCCTTGATACCGGAAGAGCACTCATGGATTTAGAACGAAATGAGATTAAGTTCCGAGTTAATGATGAAGAGGTTACCTTTCAAGCGAGTAAGGGTATGAAATTTCCACATGCATACGAAAGCATCTCAGTCATTGATATTGTTGATGAGGTAGAGGATGCAGTCGAGTTGAAGATGGAAGAAGAATGCCTTGGTGAGGCATTGGCGGCTATTTTGGTAAATTTTGATTGTGAAGACATGGAAGGATACATGGAACCGTTAAATGCATTAGAAGGGCTTGGGTCCCACACTTATGCACTTAGAATAGAGTCACTCCTCCCGCTAAGCCTTTAATTATCGAGCCGCCACAACTTGAGCTCAAGCCACTTCCACCGCACTTAAGGTATAAATTTCATGGCTGTAATGAAACTCGACCTATAATTGTTTTTTCTTTATTGAATGATGTGCAGGTTGAACACTTGTTGGATACCTTAAGGGAGCACAGACATGCCATTAAGTGGACAATAGCAGATATCGGAGGAATTCCCGATGGAATTTGTGAGCACAAATACAATTGGAGCAAGAGAGCAAACCTAGCGTGGAGCATCAAAAAGGTTAAATCCTTCCATGCAAGAGGTGGTGAAGAAATAAATCATAAAATGGTTGGATGTCGGGGTTGTCTAACCCATTGCCGATAGTCCTTGGGTGAGTCCGGTGCAATGTGTGCCAAAGAAAGGAGGCATGACCGTGATTCAAAATGCCAAGAATGAGCTCATCCCAACGAGGACGGTGACTGGGTGGAGAGTTTGCATGGACTACCGGAAGCTCGATAATGCTACTTGGAAGGACCATTTCCTTATGCCTTTTATTGATCAAATGCTTGATCGGCTAGCGGGAAGGTCATTTTATTACTTCTTGCATGGATATTCTGGCTATAACCAAATCAACATCGCCTTAGAAGATCAAGAGAAGACAACATTCACATGCTTGTATGGGGCCTTTGCCTTTAGCCGTATGCTATTTGGGCTATGCAATGCCCCGGCTACCTTTCAACGGTGCATGATGTCAATCTTCTCGGACATGGTGGAGGATTTCTTAGAGGTGTTTATGGATGACTTTTCTGTAGTTGGTGACTCCTTTGAGCATTGCCTTGACAACCTTAGGTAAGTTCTCAAAAGATGTGAGGAAACCAACCTTGTGCTAAATTGGGAAACGTTCCACTTCATAATGGACGAGGGTATTGTTCTGGGCCACAAAGTTTCCAAGCAAGGCATAGAGGTTGATCGGGCAAAGATCGATATCATTTCCAAGCTTCCTCCCCCCACTTCGGTAAACGGCGTTCGGAGCTTTTTGGGGCATGCCGGTATTTATAGGCGTTTTATCAAGGACTTCTCAAAAATTGCAAGTCCCATGTGCAAGCTCCTTGAAAAAGATGCAAAGTTTGAATTCGATGATAAGTGTCTCAAAGCTTTTGAGGAATTGAAAGTGAGGCTCACCACGGCACCTATTATTGTCACACCTGATTGGTCTCTTCCATTTGAACCCATGTGTGAAGCTAGTGGTATAGATATAGAAGCGGTACTTGGTCAACGGTATAACAAGATCCTTCATCCTGTCTACTATGCAAGCAAGACACTCAATGGCGCACAAATGAATTATATGGTGACGGATCAAGAACTGCTTTCCATTGTCTATGCTTTCAAAAAATTCTGGGCCTATTTGATGGGGTCCAAAGTGATAGTTTACACCGATCATGCTGCTCTCCGCTATCTTATGGCAAAGAAGGATGCTAAACCAAGATTGATTAGGTGGGTTCTTTTGTTACAAGAGTTTGACTTCGAAGTCAAAGATCAGAAAGGAACAGAGAATCAAGTTGCAGACCACTTATCTAGGCTTGAAGAGGCAGGGAGACAAAAAGAAGATCTTGAAATTAATGATGCCTTTCCAGATGAGCACATATTGGCATTGTCTAGAACCTTCACTCCTTGGTATGCCGACAACGCTAACTTCTTGGTTAGTGACCTTATCCCCGACGGATTGGAAGCTTATAAAAAAAAATGTTCTTGCGGGAGTGTAGGCAATACTATTGGGAGGACCCTTTTCTGCTCCGAAGTTTGCACTGACAACATCAGTCAGCATTGTGTTCCGGAAGATGAGGTAATGAAAATTCTCAAAGCATATCATGACTCCCTAGTTAGGGGCCATCATGGTGGAAACCGTACTGTGACAAAAATGCTTGAATATGGCTATTATTGGCCATCGATCTACCAAGACACAAATCAAATGGTCAAGGCATGTGATTAATATAAAAAATAAGGGTCAATTTCTAGAAGACATGAGATGCTTATGAACTTTGTGATGGAGGTCGAGATCTTTGATGTGTGGGGAATAGACTTCATGGGTCCCTTTGTAAGCTCTCACGGCATGACATATATCTTGGTAGCAGTAGATTATGTCTCCAAATGGGTCAAGGCAATCGCCATGCCCAACAATAAGGCCAAGAGTGTAACCGCTTATTTGAAGAAGAACATATTTACGCGGTTTGGAACCCCAAGGGCCATCCTCAGTGATGGTGGTTCTCACTTTTGCAACAAGACTTTCACCGGGCTACTCGAACAATATGGAGTCAAGAACAAGGTGGCCATCCTTTATTATCCTCAGTCGAGCGGCCAGGTTGAAGCTTCCAACAGGTAAATCAAAAATATCCTAGCAAAAATTATTAATGCAAACAGGACTGACTGGTCAAGGAAGCTAGATGACGCATTGTGGGCATATCACATATCATTTAAGACTCCCATTGGCACCTCGCCATACCAGTTGGTTTTTGGTAAGGCATGTCACTTGCCAGTAGATCTTGAACACAAAGCTATGTGGGCACTGAAAAAGTTGAATCTTGATTGGGCCGAAGTTGCTAATCTACGAATGACAAAACTCAACGAGATGGAAGAATTTCATCTTCATGCCTATGAGAGTGCAGCCATGTATAAGGAGAGAATGAAGTTTTTTCATGACAAGAAGATTTTGAAGTGGGAATTCAAATTCGGTGACTTGGTATTACTCTTCAACTCAAGACTCAAGTTATTTCCGGGCAAACTCAAATCCAAAGGGTCTGGCCCATTCAAAGTTGTGAATGTGTCTCCCTATGGTGCTATTGAATTGGAGTCTGAGGACGGGACTCGAACTTTCAAAGTAAATGGCCTACGGGTCAAGCATTACCTCGGAACCACAGGAGAAAGTCACTTGGTAGAACAATACACGCTCAAGGATAGTCCTACACCAACCCTCACCACCGATTAGCCAAAATAGGGACAACATCGTCATGCCGCGATGTTAAATCAAGCTATTCTTGGGAGGCAACCCATGTGTGGTAACACTTTTTGGTTAGATTTTAATTTCTGTAGGTTTAGTTGTTAGTGTTGAGCAGTTTGGCGTGTGTATTAGAATGCATGTAACCCAAAATACAATGAAACATGGTGCAAGGGAAGAGGAAAATGAAGGAAAATAAGACATGTGGTCTGCAGCAACATATGCAGTCGCACAATGGCTTTGCGGACTGCATAGTGGTCGCAGACACACTCAGAAGAAGATGCAATTTGGGCCTTAAAAAATGATATGAGATTTTTCTTTCTGCGGCCCGCATAACGATTATGCGACCGCAGAATCGATCGCAAAGCTGGTTTGCCTCATGCAGTCACTAACTCATCGCATAACACATATGCGACCGCATAATGTGTTATGCGATGCAGTTTCTCACCGCGGACCTCCCAAGTATTAAAACCCTAAATCACTTTGCATTTCAGTCGCTCATTCACACTCTCACACACACAAGCACTGCATAACACAAAAGCAAAGATAAAATTAAAAAGAAAAAAAAACCAAAAACATTGAAACAACACCACAAAATCACAAAAATAAAAAGGAATTGAAAAGGAATGGGTGACATATTTCATGCTTCAGGACAAAATCTTCAAATCATCTGCTATTTGGTATGTAAAATTCCACCCTTACTCTTGCTTGATCAAATTGAATAATAACATGTGCTTTCATTCCCTTTCCCCCTTCTTCTCAATCCCTTGATGTGGGTATTCATGTGTGCATGATTGAATTGAGAATCATTGTTTAGGGGAAGAATTTATGATGTGGGCGAATTGGAATTTAGGGATTTAAATCTACAGAGTAGGAGTATAATAATAGGGGTTGGGAAATTCTGTTCCATGACTGAGTGTTGCTATTAGAGAACTCTGTATTTGAGACTGGGTAGGAAGACTTTTCTTGACTGAAGACGATGATCTTTGCGTTCTGCATAACTGGTTTGCGGTCCGCAAAGTCATCGCATTTTTTGCCCTAGGTAGGTTTCTAAAAGGGACTTGTGTGGTTGGATTCGCGACCGCATAAATGTTTCGTGGACCACAAAAGTGCCGCACACTGAGGCAGTTAATTTTCCAAATTTGAAGAACAAAATGCGACCAATCTGTGGTCACATAAGTTGTTTTGCGGCCACTTCTTCGGACCGCATATCCTACTTTGCTTCTGAGGGGTGTATTATGCAATAGGTTTGCAGCTCGAAGAGTTGTTATGCGATCGCATACATGATCATAGATACCCCATGACTCTTTTATTTCCTCTCAATATGTTTCCCACGCTATATCAAATAATAACTCATTGATTAATTGACAGGAATGGCACCAAAGAAATCCCTTGTATCGCGACCACCTCCCACTCGAGGAAAGAAATGGGTTGCTGCTCTGAGCCAACAAGAACATCAATCCAAACGCCCATGGCCTGACACAACCAGAAGTACATATGAGCATTCCTCCCAGTCTGAAGAGGAGGAAGCACAGACTGATCTTATGCCATATGTTGACCTCCATGTTAAAGCACGCTGGAAAAGAGGTGAACATCACAGGTTTGGGGTTTCCGGCTCTTGGAACATGTACAGAGATGGCTTAGCAAAGAGAAAAATCCTTGAAGAGAAGCAGCTAGGCTTGACGGTTTAAAAGAACACTACCCTCATGTGCTCGAAAATATTAAAGATAGGAAATGGGAGTTCTTCACTCAATTTCCAGGGGAGTACAACGAGACGCTCGTTAGGGAATTATATGCTGCATATGCTGCCTCCAGGAACGCTGAGCAGATGCGAAATCATAGATTCTTGCAATATTTCCTAGTTCGAGGGGTTCAATTACTTTGTGATACCTCGTCGATCAATGATATATATTTTAAGGATTGGGAGCCAGGCACAGCTGAATATGATGCAAAAATTGATAATAAGGAATCCGAGCGTGCTTGGGTTGCCTCCGTCATAGCCAATGGAACTCCATCTTGGATCGCTCCGCGCTAAAAGATTCTCAAGAGGGATCTCACCCGAGAAGGTCAGTATTGGCTCAGTTTGGTCTGCTCTCGTCTAATGCCTTCTAGAAATGAAACTGACATAAGTATCGAGAAAGCAATCCTCATTGCATGTATCATGAAGGGTATCAAAGTTGATATGGGAGAGATTATATTTCGTGAGCTTGGGATCCGAGCAAATCAGAAAGAAACATCGCTCCCCTTCCCATGCTTGATCAATGCTTTGTGTAAAACTGGGGAAGTTCCTCTTATCCCCAAACATGACCGTATCAAAAAAGCTTTTCAAGATATTGACATCACCCGGATCAATGATGTTGCAGAAAAAGTGATAGAAAATACACCAAAGCCTTCACTCACTCCTCCTCCAGACTCAGCAGAACCTGCTACTCCATCAGTGGCTGACACTCCTTCCACACCAGCCACCTCCACATCCATTTCCAGACCAGCCACTACACAACGACCTGCTTCCTCACCTGCACTCTCAAAGCTTGGTCTTCTGGCACAACATGCCAATGCCAAAGTAGACAGATTGACGAAAGAACTTCCAGCTCTCATCCGGCAAGCACTGGACCCTATCCAAATTTCAGTGAGTGTTCTTCAAAAATAGCATCAATCACATGAAGATCAACTCAAGAACTTTGAAGTGCACCTTGAGAGGGTCGAGCGGGGTGAAGCTAGAGACATGCCTCAACTCCAAAAGGATGTAGCTGAGATGGAGTCAGAGCTGCACAAGATGTATAATCTGGAGTTTGAATTGACCTCCATTCTTCTGGAGGAAGGGGAGCAGGGCACTGGTACCTCCCACATTGTGAGCCTTG